CAGCACAGAATCGCAGAGCTGTCTACTCTCTATACATACTCTAAGACGAGATATGTATACGTCTCGATGATCACGCTCCTATAATCGACAAGAATATATCCTTTATCCGGCGGTAGGGGCGGCGGATGTGCAGAATTAGAGAGAGAAAAAAAAAAGGCAGAAAACAATGCATCGTTCTTTATCGCAATGATCTTCGACCTACGGACAATACAGATGAGTACAATACACATTCAGTTCCAGTGACCGAAAGTAGATCGTACGAGTGGAACCGGTCATCCGACTGCACTGGTCTGCGGAGGGGGGAATGGGTAGTGCTAGGGGGTTAAATTTGCTTTCTTCGTCGTCCGGGAGACACCTCCCTCCTATCGTTCCCACAACCCCAATTTGCCTGCATCGACCCCGTTAGGCCCGAGTTATTAGTTATCAGACGGTCTCCACGGCGTTGTCAATGTTCCTCTCTCCTCGGTCCGGGTTATTGATCGACCGTTCGGAAGATTCCTGGCACCGGGGGTCACTTCTGGTAGACTGCTCGTCTAGCAGGAAGCAGAGTGGTAGTTATCCCCGGGAAGAAGAAGATCGGCCAACGAACTTATCGATTGTACTTTCGAATTCGTTCCCCTTTCTGTACGTACAGGTCTTCGCTGCTGGTGCTGCTGACTGTTGCACACCGCCACCGATCAAAAGTGTGCTCCAACCGCGTGATCCTCGTCGAATTTCGTCGCGTCTGCTGATCCTCCCCTCGGAGCCCATCCCCCCAACCCGATTCTATCGCTTATCGTTTTTCATTTGTTTGTACAGGTTATATTCCGCATGGAAATACGGAATATTCCTGCGGGAAATCGTGAAGCCAGGCGCAGCGATGGACGGGATTTTTTTTGTAGAGATGATTAAAATGAAAGCGTTCGGGAGAAATCGTTCTCGGAACCACTTATTATTTTTGTAAGTAGGCGATATCATTCTAGTGTTCGGATACAGTATACCCTTGTGATAATAAACCGAACGAAGGATGTTTAGTTATTAGACCGTAGAAGTCAATGTTTCGATTAGTAAAAAATTTTAATAGTATATACGTATGATCGTTTTTGTACCATAGAAACACTTTGGAATGTCTTCATTTTAGTACAGTGCACGGTTTTAATTGAATAATAAAGAACGAATCACTTTTTGGTACATTAGAAACCAGTACACTGTTATTTAGAGGAAATGTTGTTCGATACTGTCAAAGAAAGCTGTTACGGAAACTATACACATCAAAAATATAGTCAGAGATATACGGAGAAATATATATCAGAGAATAAAATTGAAATTGAACTAAAATAAATTAAAAAAGTTATACTCCACAATCTACTCCTGAGTAGGTATCTATTGCATGCATTAAGATAAAACGGTTCGTTTCTTTTAAATACAGGTATTACATTTTTAAAAACCACCCCTCTTTTCCTATGCTACTGTTTCTTCTTTCCATCGAAGTTTTTTATATGTAGCTCAAGAACAAGATGTTTTTTTCACGGACCGGACGAGACTGAATGATTCATAGGCGGAACAACCGATAACTTCAGGAACTTAGAAACCTTAACGCGAAGTAAAAGTTCAGTGCAGTTGATCAGAGGCAATCGATGGACCCGCATGCTTTTCTTCGTCTCGTGAGGACAAGAACATACGGTGGTTTTTCGTGTTCGATTCGATTCGTTAACGGATCACTGGGAGTAAAGCGATGGAGCGGAAGAGAACGCACGACTTCGACTATGTACAAATATTATGGCGGTGTCTGCCGCCGCATATTTTATTTACTAATTCACAATTCTAATACAAAACACTAACCATTTATTAACAGAACTTTGTACAACGTAATTATATAACTATAATCTGTTCATTCAAAACACGTCTGCTTTCCAAGATTCTCCTTCGAAGACTCCCTGTCAATTTGTTTTTTAAGACAAACTCCTCTCAGCAACCCTTTCGATTCAACCATCTTCAGATAAATGAATTTATAAGGGTCGTTCCACTGGAATACAAAGCGACTTTTCATGGCGTCGCAACATATACGCTAATAAGGAGTAGTCTGAATGAGTTCCACAATATGTCATAAGTAGCTGAAAGTGTCTCTGTTTTTATTAATATAACGATTTGTACAGTCCACACAATGAGAAAGAAACGAAGTATAAGGAACTTCACCAACTGAAGTTTTATAATTGCTTACGATCGTAGAATTGAAAAGAATAGTATAGGTTTAAAGGATAATAATCGTTTTGACAAGATTTTGCTACAGTGCAGATAACTAAAATCAATAAACGAGAGATTACTTTAGAAAGAAATTCTGTTCCCGACCCATTCTGTTATCTATAAAAGAGAACTGCGAGCAGTTTTTATTACGGATAAGATCCAACGACGAGAGAATTTGATACCGACTCGTTAACTATACTCATGTAAATTAGTCGCCGCGAAGCTCCCTTCTAACGACCCTGTTTTATTTCTTTCCACCGCCAACTCTTCTGACGCGTTCACTAAAAAACGTGTACGTGCGAGAAGAAACAAGAGAGTGAAGTAGTACTTAATTATCATTTCACTTTGTTGGCTAACGGGGCTAATGAGTATTACAGCCTACACTGACTGTGATGAAACATACTGTAAGAATCCCTGTGAATAGGATCGTATTGTTAAATTCAATTCCTGACCGTGGAACGTCGTATGCTTATAGACACGCTCTGTCCCGAAAGTTGCCGAATTAAAATTCAAACAGCAGTTTTCCGTAAAATAATGATGCTCCGCACCCTTAAATATTAAAAATAATTTTCATCTAGAATGCACTGTTCACAATAATTATACATAGAAACTCTGGAACTGGTTCTGATAATTCTTTCACAAAATAGTAGAAACAGACGACAGTCGAAACTTCTAGTGTCACGAATCATGAATTTACACAACAAATTGGAAACGAAGGTGAATAAACGACAATCTAAAATCATTTTGGCATTCGCAGGGCTTCCTCTGCCATCTTGAAGAACTATCAAAAGAATTCCAGTGTTTGTATAATTATCACCAACAATCCTGCCACTTTAGAAGGAAACTACTGTCAATAATTCCCGATAAAAAGCGTAAATATCATTGAAAAAATTACTGTTTTAACTTCAATTCGGAAACTTTTGGGACAAACCATGAATTAAAATCTTGTATTCCAGTGTCAAAGTTCAATCCCGAAATTTTTCATACTTGAACTCCTATAGTCCTATTTTAAATGCTTTAGACAACTATTCTCAATATTTTCATGGTGTTCTGATTGAGAATATACGGTTCCTTTTGTTACTTCCAACTAGCCAAATAATGATTTAAGTCTAGGTACTCGGTGCTTAATCCACTTATAAAACGCAATATCCCAACACTGCCACTTCACTGGTTAAGGGCGCTTGTGAACTCCGCCATCCATGAAAAAGTGGTTCGACACTTGTGTGGGATAATAGGATAACCAATTTACAAAACAAATTGAGCATATATATTACAATTTGAGGATCCAAATGTTTCATACTCTGGTAACAACATCGTTTGGAAATTATTCCTGCACGAAGTGTAATAGGTCCATGATGAACATTTAAAAGATTTTATGGTAAAATCAAAATAAACTTTTTTATTAAGACTTATATATACTTATGGACATTTTCAGTGGCCATTCATTAGGAAAATTGGAAATTGGAAATTTAGTTAAATTGGAAATTGTTATGGGACACGATTTTTCCGTTTTCGGGGTGTAGCTTCTCATAATAAAGTGTTTCTGTAATATTCCAGTAATTAAAGTATTTCCGATGTAACGTTGTTATTCCTTAATAAAATATTTTCATTTCTAATCCATACAAATTACGAAAATCCCCAGAGACTCCATAAAGATGAATTATTGTAAAAAAATATTGACATACTTTCTTGAATTCATTTCCCTTTACAGTAATTCTTAAAACGTTTGTAACTAGAAGATTTCATTTACTTTATACACCTTCTTCAAAATTAAAAAAAAACAGGTTTTGAAACTGACAGCATCGACGTTTTTTTGTACGTGTACTCGTATATTCTCCAGCCTGGCCATGATTTACGCGGTTATTATAGATACAAGACATAGTCTAATGTGATATTCATACGCTGTAAAAGTTTTTACATCGCTCCTTTTCTTTTTACTGTTCTCTTCGACGCCAGGACTTTATTCTGTTTACTCATTTTATACATCCCTTGACACGAGAATGCAAACAATTCAGGTACGTTTCATTGCGTACTTTATACAGGTGTATATTCTTACACGGAATAGATATTGTAGTTGGATTAGGTAAGATGCACTTGAACGACGTAAATCTAATAAATAAACAAGTTTTAATATCAAAAGTAAACAAGTACATAATAAAATTGTGAAACGTAGCACTAGGGTCCTGTTTCTCATTATTAATTAATGACTTTCAGTGTTGTAAGAACATTTCAAGTAATAAGAAAATTATTATAATCAATTTTTTTAACGATCCAATATTGAATATCTAACACTATTTTCAAAATTATTTCGATATAAAGATATGTATTTCATTAGTAATACGAATATGATTTTTAGAAAGGGTGTTAACAGGTTGGTGAATCTCTTATATTCATTCTGCTGCCATCTAGTGTTAGACTTGTATATTTCTGTCGCTTGTTAGGTTACACCGGGAATGTTTCTTGGTAAACTACGATTGTTTGGTTAATTTGTTTACGAATTTTTTAAATTGTATATACTGTAATAAGGTGTATTAATAAAGGACCAGAAACGCTTGATTGGAATAGTGGAATATTTACGCACCGTTTGTATGATTAAGGTTTACATTTTTTCTTCTGTATTAAACAATGAGAGTGGTAAACGTAAAACTTTTGTTTACACTGCTTGCTTGCCTTAAAGATTTGGTGGAATCTGTAAACACTCTGTAAATATTTGTACATTATTACAAAATTTACAATAGAGGGATCTGGTTTGATGTGGTGAGAGGAAATTTAAATGGATGATGAGTGATTCGGATGATACAGACGTTTTACTCCTAATTCCACCTGACCTATTCCTTGTGCCGTCGTCTTCAGAATCTGATGTTAGTTCTAATCGTGGGGAGGTGAACTACAGTAATAGAAGAACCGGAGTGATAGGAGAAATTGTGGAACATATGCAATCATTAGAAAGCAGAATTAATGCTATTGAGTCCAAAGATACAAGCTTAGATGCTACTTTGTTAAACAATTCATTGGATTCACAACTTCACAATAATACAGCTGTTAAGCTTAGACAGACATTACCTAAAACTAAATTTCATTTAAATCAGAGCTCTAGTTTACAAAATACACCTATAAAGCCTAGACGATCCTTGTCTGTTCCATCAACTCCTAATAGTTATTCATTGTCAAGCCATAATAATTTGCATCAGGATGACATGAAATCAGGGAATTGTTTTCCTATGGCTAATGGTACTAATGCAACTAACACTACTAATCATGATAAGAATAAGCATGATTATTTAATATCCCAGTCTGACTCCTCTGTGGTGGTACCTTCTGCTTCTCGCAGTGTGGGTTTTCTGCATGCCACTAGTACTTCTTCCAAAGGGGAACCTTGCTCCTATCCATTTGATTATTATCAAAACACAAGTAATATGCATAATAAACCTTCCTGCAATCAACTGAGTTCATTGCCATCTACTTCAACTTTAATTAGCACCACTGGACAGCCAAATCCCTGTTCTAAGACTAATGTACACGAGATGGAGCTATTTGAAGTCGATGAACTACTCCAGGAAATGGAAGCTACTGAACTAGAACTATCAAAACGAATAAATAGAGTCTCAATGCAGCAGTCTTCTACGGACGATAATGATATATTATTGCCTAATCAGAGCAGTGATACACTTAGGAGCAAGGTTCAAAGTGATGTATGTAAACAGTCTATTAATCGAAAATTAGATTTCGATTTAGAAGACTTGAATCAATATCATGATGCCCAACTAGGTGTAACTAAAAAAAAATATTCTGACTTATTCCCTGACATATCCCTCCCATACGATGATTCATTGCGTTTTGATCGAACTGACAAAATGATCTCGGAGTTTAAAACATGGGAACAAAATATTAAAAAACCATCATTAAAGACTGAGCAGGTAGAAGGTACAAGTACACTAAAAGACACAAATAACATTGATAAGTCAGTTTCTAAACCAAGTGATGCAAAGAGAATGGAATCAACTTCTGAACAAGCTACCTTGAATGTGGGTGATACAAACAGTGTAGCTGCAATCAACGCACATGCTGTGCAAACCCAATCTATGCATAAAAATTCGAATTCTTCATTACTTAATGAGTTAACACAATATAATACTGCTACATCAACAAGAAGTACAGAGTTATATGCATCGTGTGTGTCAGAAACCTATAAAAGCTCCCAACAAAATGGTAATGTGCAACATATGAAAGAGGTGCATGAAGCACCATTTACTAAAAGTACTGTCCACGCGTCAACCAATACAGATTTTTTCCCAAGGTATTTCAATTGTAGATGATTATGTATATGTATTTTTTTCTATTTGGAGTGTAAAAAATTTTACTGTCTTCACAGGAAATCACAGAGACTTTTGTCATTATCAGATTTTTGGGATAATACTTGTATTAGATCTCAGGAAGAAATGCGTAAAATTAAACTAGAAGAAGAAAAATTTCGGCGGGAGGTGTGTAAAAGATCGTATCAACACGTTTTCTATACTTTAAATTTATATAACTAATAATACACAACATTCTGCAGCATTGTGAACATTTAATTCAAGAACTTCAGAAACGGCTATTAGAACAACAGGAAAAGGTTGCAGTAGCACTTAGAGTAGACAATGAAAAAAATGAATTGATAGCCCAATTTCATAATGCATGGTCTAAATTGAAACAACGATTGCATGTTTTAGAAAATGAATATAACACCTTACAGACAAATCTTAAGAATGTAACTGAAAAACATCAATTGGAAATTTTAGAATTTCAATCGCAAATTAAACGATATGAAGGAGAACTGTCAAAAGCGTTAGACCTTGCAGCTGGTTATAAAGAGAAAAGTGATACTGTAATGAAAGAAAAACTAGAATTGTTAGAAAGTCATGCTAATGAATTAGAAAATTACAAATCACTTGTTCAAGCAGCCGACAGTAGGTATGAACAACTAAAAATAGACTACGATAAAGTATTAGAAAAAAATAAACAGAATGAAGAAACTATGAAAAATATTCAACAAGAGTTGACTAAAGAACGATTGAAAGGTGTTGAAGTTAGGAATGAAATGAATGTTATTCATAAAGCATTAGACACTTGTGAAGCTGAATTGACTGTCTTAAGGCAAGAGAAAGAAAATTTACAATTAAAATTAAAAGAAGAGACAAATAGGAACGCAATTTTGCAGCAAAAAAATAACGCCCTAGTTTTGTCAGTTGATGATGCTAAAAAGGCAGAGGTAGTGTGTTAACCAGCATGTTACTGCATTTAGAAGTATTAATGTATTAGCTATTTTTTAATTACAGAAGGTAGCCAAGGATGAAACTAAATCTCTCGCGGAACAAAAAGAACAAATTAGATTGGAATTGCAAGAAGTTTATCAGAAACAAGTTGACGAAGTTGTAAAAGTCAAACTGCAAGAATTCCAGACTCAACTTGATGCCGCGGAGTCAGAATTTCTTGAAGAATTAAAAACTAGGCAACAAGTTATTGCTGAATGCGCGGCACGAAAAATTAAAGATATTATAGATAAGTACGTTCATTTGTATTTAAATACATTTTTATATTATTTAAGTTAAAATTGTTACGCTAATGATATATAAACGCATATATTCACTGAATTGCTTAGACATCGATTAGAAATAAATTTATTAGAAGAGAAACATAAAGAAGAGAAACGACTATGTGAACTTCAGTTGGCGCAAGTTTTACAAAAGTCAGCCATTTTAGAAACGCAACTTAATTCCCAGCGCGCTACTAAATCTCAGCTTGCTGAGCAGTTGCATTCTGTAATGCAGAAGCAATGGCAGCAAGCGTTACATATCATATCAGGTACATCTGTCAATGTGCCTTTTTATTGCATATTATCATAATACCTTATTTAAATTGGAGTAACGGGATAATCTCTACTTCCACGTAGGTGGAAATATGGAAGACTTAACACCGATCCAAAAGATTCATGCCGAAAAATTATTCAGAGGTCCAAAGAAATCAGAATCAATGCCAAATTGTTATGCTAGGGTTTCTCAAGAACCAATAAGATTATCATTACAGCCAACAGATATAAAGAACTTTCACGACCAAAACGAGAGTTTAAACACAATGACGCCAATTGAAGACACACCATTAAGTAGCAAAGAATCAAAGGACGATCTCCGAAAATATGTAAAAATGGTATATCATATTTGAATTTTGTACGTTCTAGTGTTATTAGAGTGAAATTTATTTATATAGCAGATTTATCTATATAATAAATTTTGAATATTCCTAGATTGTTGATATACAAAAGTCCAGAGAAGAGTTTTTAAGAGTTCGAGAAAATATTCCGAGTCCACCGTTAGCTTGTAGAGAAGTACCGCGAAAGCATTATATGAAAAAAGAATTGATCATAAAGGACGAAGACAATGTTACGTGGCAACCTGCGTCGGAAGTGATTATACTTCTTTGAATTTCATTGTCAAATTTCAAATTTATAATATTTCAGGGCAGTAATTTTATTTTTCAGACTACTCAAGACACCACTGAATTTATTCCAATTTCACAAAAAGCTTGCACAAAGGGAGATCAACACAGGACTAAACCACCATGGAAATGATCCATGGTTTGTAATTCTATAGATGATTATGGGATTGATGAAGTGGACAATGTCCGTACAGTGCATTTACGTAGCTATAATTAAAATGTGTACAACATATATTTTTACCACGTCGAAATGTATTTTATATAAAAATGATTTGGATATAGATACCGTTCTCTTTGTGTTTTACCCTATGTTTCATTTGTTCCTCTTTGAACTAATTGTATCGTTAATTAATTCATTCTGTGGCCGCAGAAAGGAACAGGATGTTCGATAACGAAACGCAATGATAAGTTCCAAATATATCTTTCAGAATATTTCAAACGGCCGCATTATTGTATTATTTACATTGAATACATAATTTTTTATTTTTAATTACAATTTTTTCATGTTCATATTTTAGTAGACCCGGGGTCACGCTTAACCAAATGATGTGTAACGCGAATGGCAAGAATTACGAAGCAACATAAGTTTAAATGAAATTCAATGTATCCATTCTGTCTTGACCACATGAAAAGAACATTACTCTATGTATAAAAAGAATCTTGTGACACTCGAGGATCATCTGTTCTCTAATAGGGAAAGGTAGGTGATCGCATCTCTCAGAAAAACTTAGTCATCGTAGTAATAGTTCTCGACAGCTCAGAATTATCCCAACACAAACAATACCTTTTCATCCTGTTCTATATTCTGAGTCATTGCCAACCTTGATTTCAAGGAAATATTTCTGAAAAAGGGATACAACGGAAACTGTGAATTTCTATATAAATAGTACTACAAGATGTATTTGGACAAAATATTTCAAGTATAGCATCACATATCGTGAATCATGGAAACGATTACTCATTTTGAACACGTTTTTCGAAGGGTGTAGCGGTATGTTAAAGTTATTCAGAGAACTTTTACTGAATCGTTCATCGATAACGTTTCTTGAATAGTAATCGTGAAGGAGCAGAACATGTCTCGTTCGACTATAAAGGCACATACTAATTAAATGCAATTTAATTTAAACGGGTAATTGAAACACATCTGTCGCGATAAAAATCAAGATTGTGATTACAATCAATACGATTAATGAATACTAATAGTTCTTTAATATCCTTGTTAATATTTACTGCCTGTTACACGACAGACAGAATGTTACTGGCATTGTAATCATGCATTATTGAACGGTATGGATTATTGATTAATCGTGTCTTTGCCAACTTCTGATATTTTATTTAAATAAGACGATCCTTTTCAGAGAACATGATTAAACATTTATTATTGTATTTAAACTTTGATTATGTAGATGGAACTCTAACATTAAACTTACGGAGATATATATATATATATATATATATATATATATATATATGTATACTACCACTAAATATTATAAGATACAATCATTTGACAAGTAAACTAGTATATTTTCTGAAAAACATACGAAAGCCTGTTGGAGCGTTTCAAAATAATAAATATGAAACAGCGTTTAGCGCTATCCTTCATTTCGTTTGTATCAGCCACAAATCATCGTAAATTCTCGTAAATGTTTAAGCGACAGTCTAACTGAGAAATTTCTTTTCAGGTCCCAATTACCAGATTGTATTTATAAGGAAATGCAATCAACTATTCAAGATACACTATAACTCCATTTATTGGAAATAAAAAATAGAGATCTGCCGAGCTCCTATTCTCTTAACTTATACCCAAGCGTCCGTTCAGTTACATGCACATGCTATAGCTAGACTGTAAACGGTAAATCAACGTAAGTAAAAAATCACAATCATGCTTTAGTATTTCACTAACACAAAATTATTGTTCTCGTAAATGTATTCCCAAATGCATAATGTTCGAAACTATACTTATAAGCAAAAGGAACGAGCCCTACGCTTGAATCCACTTATCCGACGGTGAACTCCGGTTACATGAACAAAAAACGTTAGCTACCGGGGAAAATCAATGAACTCCCCTATTTATACGAACGATCCCAATTAACGTGAACTGTTGCCTCCCCCGAGGGATTTAGATAAATAGAATTCTACTGTATTCGCTGACTTAGACGCGGTTCGTTCGTTTACCTTGAACGAAACTTGCGTTCGGACGTGGGGGGTTACTGTAAAAAAAAAAAACCGTCGAGATACGAGTCGAACGTATACGAGTCTGCAGCAAGAGGAAGCGGGACGAAGTACTCTAACAGTCGATGCCCTTCTTTAGCCCGTGACAACGATCACGCCTACGATCGGGTCGATCCTGGGCTAAGCCTCGAGGGGGGGCCCCGGCAGTTATGAGGATTCAACCGGGGAACGGACGGACCGGGAACAAGTTGCCGATTGAAAACACAAGAACACCAAGAATGCAAAGGGAGGAACGTGATAGTGCTAGCCTGCCGCCACCCCCTCTTCGCTCGTCGCGGATAGTAGCGTAGTCACGAACGTCGCTCGCTCTTCATTCTGCCCGGTTCCGTGGCCTTTAGTCACCGTGAGGCGAACCGAACCGAGAGAAGCAAGAAGTTCCTCGTGCGCCGAGTCGGCCGGAGAGGCTTGAATGCGTCCAGGAGAATGCGTCCCGGAACGAGATGTTCGAGATTCTGTTCGCTGATAATAGTGCTGGTCCTCTGCATAATAGACGACACGGGCGGCACTTGGAACGGCCGGGAGGACAGGACTGAATGCCCGAAAGTGAAGGCCATTCGAAATTTTGACATAACCGAGGTACGTACGTGGGGTGTTAAGTCGTTGCCTAGAGTATGAGAATAGTGTACGGTGTCCCGTCGATGACTCGATCGGGTGACGTTTAGTGAACCGTGTTGTGGAGTTCGGATGTTGAACGCGGTATCTTGTGCATGGTAGTTTCCATTTGTGATTTCGAGCCGGAACAGTGAGATCTATGTGTGAGTCAGAAGGAGGGTTCAAAGTGTTGATTGATAGAAACTGGAAGAATCTACATTGAACACTCGCGAAACAAGAGGACTTAAGGGGTTACATACCTTCGAGCTGTTAAATAAGAGCGAAAATTAAACAATTTTTTGGAGTATGCAGAATTATTGTTTACTAAGAATTTAATATAAGCATCTTATTATATGTGATTTCCTTAGTAATTTCTGAAAAATTGAGCTTATATCTATCAACAGAGATATCAGATATATCTCTGTGGGCTTTTATTTGACACAAGTTTTTTCTTATATTAAAATAGACAAAAGGAACTAGTATTTATCGATGCCGATTTTGAAAATATCAATATTTTATGAAATGGCTGTTTGAATTTAAACTTGTAGTTTCCAATATAAATTTTCGACTTCTGTTGTTGCTAAGAAAAGAAAAAATGCACGAATAAAAAATTCGCTTCGTCAAGTACTAGACTTTAGTCTTAAGAATATTACCACAAACTTTGATCCAAATTGTTTCAGTAGTCTTAAATATTTCGAGTAAAACGTATTTAAATGGCAGCCATTTTCTTCTGTTGATAAATATATAGTTCAATTTTCAGAAATTACCAAGGAAATAACATAAATGTAATTGGACTATAGCTACGGTGAATTATTGAATTAATGATCGGTAAATTATTTATTGGGCATGAGAAATTGGAAATATGTTTACGTTTGGCTTTAGTTGTGCTAGGACGCTTAATGCAATCGTGAAGCCTTAGCAGATCGAGTCATTTTATTTGATAATACCGGTTTGGAGAATTAGATGCACGGAAATCTGTTAGATCGGAAATCTGAAGAAAAATATGGTAAATACAAACAGTATGAAATCCTAAACAAAGAGTCAGTATTGAAATATATTTATGATTAACTACTTCAATTATTTCATCTATTATCTACATTTATTAACTACTTTCAGTTTATTGACTGCGTTAATAATTTACCTTCAACGATATTTATTTTCGTGAAAAAGAGACGAATACCACCCAGCCATTTAATTTTCTCTTAATCTCTGACACCAACGTACGAGTGGGCTGTTAATATTTTCGTATCGCAAATAGATAATCACGTCGGATTTCCTATCAATATGCGTATTGAATGTACAATGATAATAATTGCAGAGAGCGGAATTGGAACGCAATTCGTTGCTGAATACTCTCGATTGCGTACAACCGCGATAACATAAAATAACAATTTCCTCTTCGACGTCTTTCCGTTTCCTTTCGTATCTTCAATATATTCTGAGTTGTAACAAATTAAAAAAAAAAGTGTATTTCGTTGACAAGTTCCACAGTTTGTTAGAATAACTTTTTGAACACGTTCATTATTGCGAGACGAAAATATATCTATTTATTCAGGAATTGTTCTATTTCTTTTAGTAAGGAATAAAGCTGAACGAAATCAAAATGTCAACTCAATTTCCGCAAGGGATTATGCTCTTCGATATAATAATACACATTTAACAGATAACGGAGTCGCATAAAATATCGCGAGCTTTCTTTCAAAGGAAGACTCCACGCAAGCTTATTTTTAGAGCTTTATGCGTGTTTAAGAGAAAGCTATTTCGGAATCGCCTTGTGTGCATATAAAACTACTTCCATCTAACATCTTTGTGTTTCTTAATAGAAATTTTGTCCATTCATCAAGCGGTACCGTAATGTTTTTACATGAAACAAAATACCGATTTAGAGTAACGATTCCACATGTCAGTATAGTTTGTACTTTCTCAAAATTTCCGAATATAAAAAGGTTTAAATGATTTTTATAAAAATTGCGGATGGACGAGATACGCGAAGTCTACTTTCTACGAATGTTCGTTGTACTAAATTTAGGCTCGTTTGCATCAACGATGACCATCACGAGCATCAGACAGTCATTCTTCTCCGTTAGGAAGTAATCTTGACCGGCTCCATTCAAGTATAGATAGGCTATGAACTGTACCGTTTCCCATTGATAACCCAAAAGTCACTGGCGTGATACATATTTTAGGACCGTTTTAGAACTGCCAAAGATATAAAAGGTTCTCTAAAGAAAAAAAGATAATAAATATTGGTATTCACATATATATGGTATTCACTGAACAAAGTAAAAAAAGATGCTTAATCAGCGTACACAGTAAACAAAATTACTGTTTTCAAAGTGCAACGTGATATTCTATGTACAGTAATGTTGGTAACTTATTTTTCTTTCATAAAAACTAGCATCATCTAGGTACAATTATCTTTTGTCATAATATCTGTCTTTATACTTATCATGTATATAAAATTTGAAACATTTTCTACATCTGTCAATGATCAACATATACGTCCTGCCAGTGAAAAGTCTGAAATCACGATTTTTATATATTTTATATCCACGTACCCATATACATTGGAAATTATTGATAAAGTAGGGAGTTTTGTCTATTGTAGATATTTTATAGAATAATATGTCAGTTATCAAAAATGACACACGGTATTCAATAATGCATATACTAGCGTGCAGACAACGCGAAATGGTAGAGTACTTAAGAATCGGAACCTCTGCGCTTAAAAGTACATTCATTAATGTTTCATTATTAAACGGAATTGATAACGGAGCAGCTTCTACAATCTCGTCGCTCCGGGGAGCAGCACGCTTCTACACGTTACGTGACATTCTGCTCTATTCAGCCTACCAAAAATAACTTGAGTGCATTTCAATTTTAAGATTATTGAGGTCTTCCATGCATCAATTTAAATTGTTATATATTTTCTAGAAACTTAACCATTTTGTAACACTGTAAATAAATATTCCTACGATAATTACATCTTTGGTTAGATATATCAGTGAACATTAGATATTCAGAACACTTTTTCGAATTTGTTTCAGAACTTCGTTTACTAATATAAAATTTGCAGTATTAGCTTTATTGCTGTACTTGTGTACGTTTTCATAGATGAAAGTGGTTGTGATATATTTTTAAACGTTCGTAGTAAATTCAGAACGCACCACGTCGTACGAAATGAGATTACAAACTTAGAACACATCCAGTATTAGTTCAGCTTAAGTTTTTGAGCGAAAGTGAACTTTTTTAAGTACTAGTGTACCACACGAACAGTTTGTAAACTTCATTTACATCATAAGTAAGATATTAACATCTTCAAAAAAATAATCATTTGAACAAATAGATTGCAAAAAATGTACTTATTTATTAAACAACGATTTTTTTAGTTTGAAATGCAACAAGAAGTATTTTCCCTTTTTAATTTAATTAATTACATTTTTCCAATTTTTCAAATTGAAATCTATGCGTTATAAAAACGTATAGATATTAACAAAATCTAATTTTCATGTGCTAAATATATGTATTAATATTATTATCATTTAAAATTCGATTTTAATAGTTACAAAATCTCTTAATTATTCATTCATTGGTGCGTTCACCCGATTAGCATTATTGTTTATTATTTCCACAAAACCGTGGCGATCACACCGTATGCAGAAAATCCATCTCGAAACTTCTCCACCGACCCAATACAATGGAAAATTTCAAAAAAGATTTATTCAATGTTCATAAAACCGTCATACAGATGAAATACGGGGATCCTATTCTCTTCCCAAAATTGATCCTATAATTTATTCGTTGGCTTTGGCACGCGGTGTTAATGTTAAAGTAAACCGAAATAGTAGTGATCACGACAGAGATGACTCGTCGTACAATGGAACGAATACGCGACAGAGAGAAAGGACAGTTTTGCATGGCGTATTGAACAAAATGACAATCTGCGGCAACGATTTCGAGACCTACCTCACGGAAACGCGGATGAACTGTTTGTATTTGCGCGAGTTGCGGAATACCGAATTTTCCACTCACGCATAAATCATTTCATAAAATCGGCCATCTATCGTTACCGTCCAAACTATCTCATTTGATTCGGATCACGTGAAATAACGGCCCGAAAGAAAACCGGTCTCGTTCGACGAGAATATCGATAAATATTTGTCAAAATTGCATTATTTGAGGAAAAAGACTAATTTTATGAAGCGTCCTAAAGTGCCTAAAATTCAATTAAGCTGCTTATTCTTCGATTTTGATACGAGCATATTAACTGTAGAGATAATACTGTATTCCTTAACGCTGATATTGGAATGAAATGTTAAAGATTATTTACCGGTAATTATCATAGTTTTAAAGTTAACGTTAAAATTAATCTTGGAATTCACAACTGAAATTCTGTGATAGGAAAATATGTATATAATAATATATTATGTCAATTATTCATATAATAATTACAGTAAATATGACTGCAGAGGTTGAATTTCACGTAATATTCCCTTCATTATTATAGAAGGAAAATTGCATTGTCTATGAAGAAAATAAAAATGTTCTCGTATTTTCATTGGAAAAGTAGTGTTTTTTTTATTTTGAATACATTGTACCGTCTAGCATCTCGTACCGTATGAACATACATATGTCTCTAATTAATAAATTATCATAGCTCATACACAGAACGATTTTACTTTGATAAAGCAATGAGAAATTTTGGTAAATTGAAATTTTCGCGATGACCAATACTGGAGGCGTAATTATGAAATGAATTTCTGCGACATTAACATTTTAATTACCCTTTGAACGATATGCAAACAGGATTACCAAATATTCATTTAACCACAATCTCATCGGAATAGCGTTAAAAATTGTATTAGTTATTTTCAATGGAAATCGTACATATAGTACTATCGCTAGAATTGCAGCGACGGATATTGCAATTATTGACACGCGTTCGTATACACTAATGAAGCGAAATATATAATATAAATCGATATATTCAAATTGCGATGATATAACGAAACCGAACAGCCGACGTTTTCATCGGAAATGTCAAATTCAGTTATTCTTATACTATATAGAGTAACGAACGGGTATCCAGTCCTTCAAAGTGTAACTTGAAACAGTTTTCAATCGCTCGCTAAACAAATCTTTTTTTCACTATGCATTTAATTAGAGATTAAAAATTGACAAATTATTTATGTACTTTAGTGGTTAGTAAAGTTTATTATTAAATTACGTTCAGACCTTTCAATTTTACTACTAATATGTATAATACTGAAAATTGTAAGTGGTTCTAATTCAGTGGCCAGGGGCTGTAGTGTTAATGTTCGAACGCGAACAAGAAGAGCATCTGACGCGTAACGGTTTACGCCGTTTACGCGCTATTCCTCACGAAGGCCACGTGTCCGGTGCTATAACCGATAAATAACATGTATTTCTTACAGTTCCTCGGATCATGGTACATAGTCCAGTATTACGCGAGCTCGGAAGAAGCGCTCTCGTACAGATGCATGCGTGCCGAACTTTCGATCTCGTCCGAGAACACCGAAGTTACCATGAATTTCACTTACAGTTTCACCGACGATCCGATCAACGAACAACTTGTCGGTAACATTACCTGGAAGATACCCTCGTCCGACACACCTGCTCATTGGGTACACGCCGAGTACCCGTGTAAGTATTAAAATTACCGTCGACTCTCTAACAATCGTGAAAAATGAGAGAAACAAAATGATCATGAAGAATATACACTGCGTGGCATAACTATAAAACCACTCTAAAATGTTCAATTCTTATGTGATTAAAATAAAAACAAACCGAGTATGCCATGTCCACAATCTACATATTTAATTCTAATTACTTCTGTGCGAGTTAATGTTTATATTCCGGCAACTGTTAATATACACTGTGTTGCAAAACGTAAATTCATGCCTAATATCTTTTTATTTATTAAATGTCACGCCGTTTAGAACTATTTAAACTGCGTCTACACTATATAACATAACACGTTATATAGCAAAATTATAAAACTTATTAGAAAAACAGAAAGAAAAATGTAATATAACTTTTTTTGTGTTATATAGCAAGTTATATGTTATCCTTCCACCAGGTTGACACCCCCGGTGTAGACGCAGCTTAATGAGATACGAAATGTTATACAAACTTATTACAGACGCTTCCAAAAGGTATAGTCTTGTAACAAGTTATAAAAACATGTTATATAACAAGGTTATATAACAATTTGTTATATAAAACTATTTGATATATAGTGTGGAGGCAGCTTTATGTATTACAAGAAAAATAATTCCTTTTGACTTTCGAGCAATTTTGTATAACTTTTCTATTTTGCAGATGAAAGTGTGTATAATACCTACGTGCTAGACTCGGATTACAAATCATGGGCATTGCTTATGCACTGCGCGGAACAGAGCAATACTCCCCGATATTTATCTAGCTTCATCATGAGCAGACAACCGATCCTCGGGGCTAACGTTATTTCCTATCTACGGGAGAAGTTGCCCAGGTAACCAACAGTCTCGTTTCACTTAAAACTCGGATTAAACTGAGTTACTTGTACACGAGGTTATATTTATTTTATTTTCCGCGAAAAGGTACGATATCGATCTGGAGTATATGTTCCCGATGGACCAGCAACAGTGCAACAAGACGACCACATCGGAAATGGATATGTTGATTCCGGTACCGGTGACGTCCAGAAAACACCACGCTGACCGAAAGCATCCACTCAGAAAGAAACATCGACGGTTTTAAATATAGCTTTCATTCGAAAACTCGACCGGACACAGTGTTGCACAAGCATTTTCCGTTCGTAAGGAATACAGTGTTGTTGAATTGGCGCAAAGATGGGCAAATCCGTTGAGAACAAAATAGGGAACTCATTTTGTCTTAAATAACGCACGAAAATTTCTAAACTGATTAATACTGTGTAAATATCTGGATGAACTAATTAAACGGTGCTTTTTACAATATTTACTATTAGAATAATATTCTGCCCATCTCTGATGATTGTTTTGATCGATAGGAATCCTTCTTCAAGACTTTCTTAATTATATCAATAAGTGTGGATCTCTTCTATTTTCGAATGTAATTTATTCTATTTTCAAAGATTTAAATGAATTAAAAAGGTTGAGAACTGTTATTTTCCAGATGTCTTCCTATCGATCAAGCTTATATCTTATATGTCTGACGATTAAAAGCAATTAAATTAGCTTACTGGTGATATATATGTATGTTTGTATTATAATATGATTATTTAGTAGAACGCATAGAAAGATATGACGCGTAACATACCGAATTATGCTTATGCATAAATATTTATAATACTCAAATATGACTATTATTTTGTAGGGATGATCGTGTACTAGTCCATTTATATTCAAACTGTAGAATTCTTAAAATTCTGACAAATAATACAAGTTTATATTTACACACACATACACACACATGCTTGTAAGTTGAATATGTGATTAACTTAGGTACTTGTTAGAGATTTACATAGTAATATGTGAAATGTACTTCTTATGACTGTAAATTTGAAAACGACGCTACAAATAACAACCCTGACTAATACGACTTTGCGGGAACAAACATATGCACTAATCAAGTTTAAAAGATGAATGTACCAGTTAAAAAACTTCTTGAAGAGTCTATATACCTAAGATGACCATGGGACAGGCCGAGGGTCCAATAAACTTGATATGGAAAACATAAATTTTTCAACACATCGGTCAAGACACATATCTAAATGTATTTTACAGTTTCAACCATGGATGGGGTGCGGATGTTTCCATAAGTGACTTTGAAACAAAAATAACTTTGAATAATTCATAAAGACATGAGTAATAAGATATGATGATTCACGTAGCCCATCCCGTTAACACTTTTACTGTGTATATGCGTGAAAATAAATATTCGAAGATTTTGTCAAAAGTAATAGTGAAAATAAAGTGAGAGGAAGGCATGATTATACCACAGACGAGATAGAAAATAGACTTATCTTATGAATTTAAAATTCAATACGTCTCTGTACAAAAATCGAACAAGAATAAATTTTGGAGAATATAAAACAAAAAACAAAACAGACATTTAAATCGAAACAATTGTATCTTATTGTATCGAAATTTAAATTGTTTTCGTACCAAAATAGTTTCAGCAAATTGGGAGCGACTCTAATTGAAAATTTGCTATGAATATGAAGGATCGAATTGTATTTGCATATTTTTTCAGCTGCATGCTTTTCATTAGTTATATTCAGCAACAGTACCGAGGAAACTTTGATTTTCGCAGAGACATTCCAAAAATTTACAAAAATGAACATTATTTTTATATCAATGGCTTTTGCAAATTACGCATAACGATTCAATAATTGATATATCACCAACTCTAACAACGAATAGTCACTTCTAAGGACTCTAATTAAAATTTAATTACAAATTAATTTTAATTTTTATGTGTCAATAATTAATCAAATCGATCATCATTGTCGATACATAGATTTTTTAATGTGTATTACAAATTGTAACGAACATTTGCAGAATTATTAAAAATAGAA